CAAATAAAGTAGAGGAGGAGAGAACCGGAAGAGAGAAGGAAAAAGAGTTAAAACAAGAAAAAAATATAATTAGTTAATTAAAAAGTCTCAAATGTATTAACATTATTGGTGCTATACAATTACAGTTTAAAACAAAATATAAATGTACTTACTATCATCTTTAGACCAAGCTTCTTGTATTTTATCCTTGTTAGGATCATAGCAAGACTTGCTCATTTTTTCTTTAGTGACTATTTTTCTTGTAGATACTTTAAAGAAATAGTCTCTTTGTGTCTCATTTTATATGAGGTGTTTGATTGATTGTGTACGGAATTCAAGAAATTTTAAAAGATATTATTATATGCGTGAGATATAGGTAAAGAGTTGAAATTATCTTTTTAAATAAGTGGTTGTGAGAGATTCACTTGAGTTTTCATAAACTCAAAAGAAAAATGTGTCAAATATATATATAAAAGTTGTGTGTACTAACAAAACTCATATTGATAGTACGTTGAGAAGATTAGGAAGCTATACATAGAAGGTGTAGGACTACTCCTAATGTTGTGATGCTGCCTATTAAAAAAAATTGATATGAATTTGGTTAATAGCAGCCTGTTCTCATCTATCGACAAAGAACAAGTTGCTTTCAAGCTCAAACCATTTAAAATAAAATTGCTATTTTTTTCTTGTTATTGATAGAGTGGTATTCTCCGTCCCTATCAAATAAAGTAGAGGGAGAGAGAACCGGAAGAGAGAAGGAAAAAGAGTAAAGAATTGACAAGTCTAATGGGGAAGAATAGCTAACACGTTGACTGCCTTCGATAGATGGAAAAAAATCAAGCGGTGTAACCTAACTCTTAGATCAAGGTGAATAATATAACACTATATTAAGAGTATCACTAGACTAGTTAACCCCAACAATCAATATCATAATTAATGACTTAACCAAACGAGTGTGAAAATAGCACAATGATAATGCAATGCTCAATTTACTACAATTTTGATACTAAAGGTTGCTTGAATATGCATATGCACAAGAATCCTTAATTATGTGAATGACAACAATGAATCTCAAAAATTGATCCATGGATCACATAAAACTTAATTCTAAAGAGAGATTGTAAAGGCTTACTAATATATAATCTCACATTAATAATTGAAAGATTATAAAAAAAAATACAGATACAATATTAAAATACATATAATTTTTTTAAAAAAATCATATCATAGATATATATGTGATACAAAGAAGATAATAACATATATTCTTACCATGAAGAGATTTTTCTGGTCTAGCCCAATAAAGTAAAATGGGACAAATAGTGTAAATTTGGAATAGACAAGAAAGACATGCCATTGTGGGGGTAAGTGGCCTTATTTATAGAATGTATGGTGGAGTATTTTCTCATTTCTTTTATATATAATGTATATATACTCGATTTTTACATCAAATCAAGTTAGATATGTTAAATTTAAACTAATTATTTGGTTTGGTATGGGTAAAGGTTTTACCCATATATGTCAATTTGGTAAAACATACTACCATTTTGAAGCTAGTGTGTATGTACTCATACCGACATGGATAGAGAATCTCTGATTTCTCTATTCTTAATCAAAAATTTCAGATTCAAGTTTAGAGAATGAAAAAAGATCTAAAATCTCTAAAAATGAACCTTATAATGTGCGAATTCAGATTTATCAAACTCCACTTGAATCATATGCTTATTTATTTCCTTTTTTCCCAAAGAAAGGTATAATGCACACGTATATTTGGGATGATGAAATTGAGAAACAAAATTTTGTTCACTATTTGTTGGGTTATGTTTGCATATATCTATGTAATTTTTGTCCTATTTAATTAATATTCCCACATCACGTGGGCCACGTACGCAACCTCCTTATTAAAGAAAAATGTTGTACATGAGATATATAATAATAATGAAACAAACATTAATTCGAAAAAGGGGAAAATGAAAAGAGAAATTTTTTTCATAAAGTTATTAATTATTATAATGAAATTAAAAGGTGATTGAAAATCATGAATCACTAGAAAACTAATTGTATTTAATAAAATTATATATTGCTTCATATTGCCCAACGAAGTTTTTTTTTTTTTTTTTTTATCATTTGATTACCCATTTTGTTAGGGTTAGGTATGATTCTTACCTCGTACGTTAATTAATCAAAAAATAAGACAAACGTACAAAATTATATGAAACCTAACCTCTAAATAAATTCCAAGAGGGTGGACATTACTTTTTCATTGTTTTACAATTTATTGCTCGCTATATATCATATTGATGCTAATTTTATACACCCTTGCGTATGTTTTCATTTCTATAATGTTTGTTTAGATTATATATAAATATTTTTGGGATAATATTTTCTATTATTATTATTATTATTATTATTATTATTATTTATGAATAGCCCAAGAAATTGCTTGATGTGACATATCGTGATATATAAATTTAGGTTGGCTAGGTTGTCTCCTAATATCCACAAAATAACGGTGCAAAATTAATGTAGACTGATATTTTTTATTATATAGACAAGTTGCTCTCACCAAGAAACACAGTACCATTTTGCCACATATACTAAGAGAACTTATCCACCTTTTAAAATTTTGGCAAAATTTATTGGCCATAAAATTTATCACTTTTATATTTTATAGAAAAAGTCATTAATTATGGCTCCAACTATAATTTTATCCACCTAATCGACAGGAGTAAAAAATGTTTGTTTCATCTTTTTGGTTATTTTATTTGAAAATCTATGCTCGACATGAAGAGATCAGTGTCAGATTATATTAAAGAATAACCACTGACTATAATTAATATTATAATTTACTATTTTTTTCATCATTACATCTTCGTAACTAATTATAATATGATGAATTGTAATAGCGGGTCATTGTGTTATTAGTAATTTTTATTCAAATATTGTATTATAATTTTTGAATAATGTATTAGCTAGTTTATTATTAAAAAAAGACAATTTTATGTCAATTGTAGGTATTTTTAATAGTTTTTAGATTTTATAGGTATAATCATGTTTAATGTCTTTCTTCTTTATTTCTTTTTTAAAAAGGTGAAATATGCCAAAAAACTATGATCAAACACATGTCAAAACTTCAACTCAAACTTCACCAAAAACCTATTTTCTCAAAAATGTTTAAAAATTTATAACCAACATAATGTAATTAACTTAATTACCATATGAAAATTCAAAGTGTACTTGGGAACAATTTATTTTCATTTCAAGCAATGGTCTCTTAAAAACATAAATTATAGCTCTCCAAGTGCGGATCAATATATCTACTACCAGAAATTAGAGTTCTTTGACAACTTTTCGCAGCAACTTATCTTATCGCCACAAAATGAGATAAATCAGTGGCGATAAATAAATGTTGGCACAAAATGTATAGTTTTAGCGGCGATCCTACTAAAATATGTCTGGAAATTAATTGGCTGCAACAAAAAAATTGTCGCTATAAAAGGTTTTTTGACGGTAATTTCATCGCCACTAAAGAGGATTTGTGGCAACTTAGTAGTCTCTAATAATTCTGTTGTTTATATAAAGATTTAGGACGTAAGTTCAAAGTTTTATTACTAATATGTTTGGTCCATTATTTGTACTAAATGTTTCAACCATGTAATACAAAATTTAATTAATAAAATAGTAGTAGACTTTATTATAATTTTAAAAATTATCTATTTATAGGATAAGTAAATATTAGATAATAATATTTTATTAAATGACAATTAAAACTCATTTACCTATATAGACAATAGAAAATAAGATAGAAGTGAAACTTAAATATGCATATACATGCAGGGCGGACCCACGTTAGGCGAAGAGGTGTCAAGCGACAACCCTTCGTCAATTGTTTTTACTATGTATAAGGTTTATGTGTAATAAAATGACACTATTTGACAGTAATTATTTGATGGCGTGTTGGTTCTCCGTCTGGTTTTGTTGTTAGGCTTCGCGGGCTCTATCCTCAATCAATATGTTACTCATTTATACTAAATAAGTTACTCATACTAGAAAAGTGTAGTTAAGTAGTAGTCTTGAACCCAAGACCTCCTTTAGCTTAAAACTAATTTAAGAGTCAATGATTTAATTAATTAATTTATAAATATGATAGTTAAATTTTTAACTTGCTTTTTATAAATATCGATACTGATTACTAAAAATTTTGCATACGTCACTGTATACACGAACATATAAACCCACAAAAATGAAAAAAAATAGATAAATATTTTTCCTCATACCAAACACACTTATGTACATCTTTGATTTATTGAATGTAAAATAAAAAGAAAGATTGACTTTCAGCCATTTAGATATGGATGAATACAAAATGGGGTTTATATTGAAAAAAAATTGTCTTGCAAACTCTTGCCAAATATTGACAGACATCAAATATAATTTATATTTGAATGAATTGTGGGTAGTAAATTTCATGTATTATGTGTATAAATGACCGTATAATATATTATTTCTATAGAAATTAAATTCAAAAAAAGTGAATGAAGTTAAAAACAAAATAAAAATGAGAGATAACAGAGTTGATCAAATGGTAAGCACCCTTCACTTCCAAACTTAAGGTTGTAAGTTCAATTTCCCAAGGAAGAATAATATGGGAACTTGTGTTGAAAAAAATGAAAAAGAAATTATTTGTCTATTTGAAAAGTGAAAAGTATTGTAATTGTAATTAAATAATTGGATTAAAAATAAAATAATTGTTCACTTTTTTCAAATATTTTACGTTTTTGTGGCGGCATTAATCGCCACAAAAGCTAAACCTTTGGTGACAACTTGTGTTGTTGCCACAGAAAAGTATCAGCCACTTAGTATAAACAACAACCCATGGATCGCCACGACAGGTTATTAGTGGTGATATTTTGATAACTTTCTGTGGCGAGTTGTGTCACCATAATAACATTGTTTTTTATTTATTTATAATAACATTCCAAACTCGTTCATAATGTTCAACTCATAAATTCTAGTACTTAAAATTGATAAGTAAATGTTACAATAACAAAACATGAATACTAGACCAATAACAACCATACATTGTACTTTTCTCTAAAAAGTTTCTTATAAAATACGTAGAGTTCATAACGATGATTTCCAAATCAACCATAGTACATATTATTAATTAACTCTCAAAGGAGATGATCGAGAACGTCTTCGATCTTATCTATGGAAGTGAATTGAGATCAAGCAATGAACTTGTAATTTGTTGATCTTTATTAGCACAAGAACTTGCAGCATCAAATATTACTCCATCATTTTCTGATCTTGTGTTATTTTCTTGGAGAAATTCAAGTCTTTTTATGTGAAGATAATGAGATAACCTATGATTTTTTGGATCAATTCCCATTTTTATAAGTTTTCTTCTCAAATGAGAATTCCAATAATTCTTCACTTCATTATCGGTTCTTCCTGGCAATCTTCCTGCTATTAGCGACCACCTGAAAAATAAATGTCAATTTTAAAAAAAAAATAACAAACACTAGCTACCTGAAACTCCCTTAAATTTCATTTTACGTGACACTCTTTTATTATCTTTTTAAAATGTTTAATTTAAACTTCACATTTTATAGGCATAAAAATGGTATTATCACACATGACTTGTTTAAGATATCACAAATTCCAAAGATTTTTTTTTCATAATCTCCTCGATGAGCGAGTAGAATAATATCATATAAATTGATATCACAATAGTAATGAGCAAGCATCTTTAGTGAAACTTATTATTGTTATTGTCAATCGTTCAAAAAGTACTTGTCTAAATAATAAAAATCAGTCCACTAGTCAAAAAACATAAATTAGCGATAGACAACTTATGTCATGTATTAAACAGTATAAATTCGTCATTAATTCTATTTAACAATGAATTGATCATAAATTATCAAAAATTTATTAGCTATAACCTAATTAGAAATGAATCTCATACCTAATTCCGATTTATGTTAATAGTTTATATTTTTCAAAGCAAACAAATCTAGAATTTCCTTTTAAGGGATAAATAGTGGAAAAGTTACCTATTGCCAAGGAGAGCATGAAGCTTGATGATTAGATCATCTTCATCTTCAGAAAAATTTCCTCTTTTTAGATTTGGATTAAGATAATTCATCCATCTTAGCCTACAACTTTTTCCACAACGAAGCAAACCTATAATCAAAGATAAATTCAGAATTTAAAGTCAGTATATAGATAAATTCATAACGAGTGTGAGCTTAATATACATACATCTCAATTTCTTTTGCATATGTATGCATAGTTCAAATAGAAACCAATAGGTTCAGTTGAACTCACAGAACGGATTTTTTTTAACAATGATTTGATCCTCACCAAAGGACAACACAATAATGAGTAGTTCAATCTAGGACCCCACTCCCTCGAGAGCAAGATGTCAATCAAGATGGAGTTGGGTGCAACCCTAGACTTTTCAGGGACTTATCTTACCTCGACATCTAAATAAATAAATGGTGGACATATATATTACTTACCAGCAGCTTTAGGTAAATCTCTCCAGCAACCTTCACCATGTTTAGTGATATAATCAATGAGTTTTTGATCTTCTTGTTTAGACCAAGCTCCTTTATGCATTTCTTCTTTGTTATCACAACAAGGCTTTCTCATAATTCTATATATTTGATATTATATTCTATAGTTTAATATTTTATTTTATTTTTTGGATGGATCAGACTATGTGAAGTAGATATATACTAGAAAGATTTGAATGTGGAGAAAGAAAAATAGATAAGGTGGTTGTATTTTGGAAGTGGATAGAGTGTGCTTTTATAACAAATAAAAGTGTTGACTTTGGAACTTGGAAGTTGGACTGGTGGTTTGGTCTATGCATGCATGCAAGGTGTGATAATTCCCAACTTTCCCAATTCCAAATTTGGAAAATACTAGTACTCCCTAGTCCCTCTGTCCCATTTTATAAAATGACAAGTATTGTGGTCTAGCTATTTATAGAAATGAATGACATATAGTAATAGGTTTGTTAGTGTCTATGGCTTGTTAGGGTTTGGTCAAATATATTATCTTTCACTAGCATAAAAATAAGTGGTGCAATCCACCAACAATTACATGTATCTGTTATTTCCCACTAGCATGAATACAACGTGACTTAGCCAATTAATTTGTACGCACTTCAGTTATTTTATCAAATATTTGTTATATATCTCCCTTAATAATGCAGCTCATCAAAGTTTAGACAGATAGAGAAAAAAACACTTTATATATTTTTCGTTTACCTTTGTTTGGATGTGGATGTGCGACCACATGATCTTCCCAACACTCATCGATCATTACACCACACTCTTGAATGTGGTAGGTTTTTGCATGTGTGATCACCAACATTATTCAACAAGAATTTTAATGTATATAATGTGTGTTAACAAGGGTAAAGCTAAGGGCATAAAGGGTCAATTTCGAACCTTCTTTATTAAAAAAATATATTATATATAAATTAAAACTATTTTTATATATATTTATATACGGAAAAGGGTCAAAATTGCCCTTGAACTATGCGAAATAGACCACTTATACCCTCCATTACATTTTGGGATCAAAAATACCCCCGCAGTTATCCCAGGAGACCACAAATGCCCTCAAGAGTTAACACCCCAATTTTTTAGTGACGTGGCAAGCCACATGGGACTAATCCCTCCACCTAAGCATTGCCAACTAAGATTCACTACAAAAGAACTTGACTTTTAGTGGCGACAAAGTCACCACAAAATCCCAAAATATTGCCACTAAAGGTTATGAGTGATTTTTAGTGGCGACTAAGGCTCCAACAACCATTCGCTAGTAAAACCTATTTTTTCAACAAAAAAATATGATAATTAATTTTTGATTGCGACCTAATTTTCTAAAATAAATAACTTGCAATATCCATATTAAAAACATCCAATATTATTACGAAAAATAATTAAAATTACTTCTCGATTCAAATCTGCTACTATATATATATAATGCATCATTGTACATTTTATACATTTACATATGACATAAAAATAAAACATATAGTGTCTTCAAACTCCTACTTAATCGATATCATATTGGTTTTTCAAAAACAATGAAGAAAAAAACACAAAATTAGAATTTAATGTTAAAAACTTTTAGTGACGATTTTCTGGGCTTTTGTGGCGACTGTTGTTGCCGCTAAAGGTCTAGTTCTTTGGTAGTGAATCCTAGTTGGCAACGCTTAGGTGGAAGGATTAGTCCCACGTAGCTTGCCACGTCAACAAAAATTTGGGGTGTTAACTCTTGAGGGTATTTGTGGTCTCTTAGGATAACAGCAGGGGCATTTTTTATCCCAAAATGTAACGAAGGGTATAAATGGTCTATTTCATATAGTTCGGAGGCAATTTTGACCCTTTTCCGATTTATATATATGGTATTGGATAGTGGATACCGTTCCCTTAATGCTCTGTATAGTATATCTATTTCTTATTATTTTAAATTCTCTTAGCGAATATTCTAACTTCACCATATATATTACTATCATTTTCTATGTCATATTATCTTTAACTTTATCTTGATTCATCATTCAAGTAAACTTTTAGCCTTTAGGTGGATATAATTATTGTCTTAAGTTATTTGACTCTCGAAAAGCAAAATACGAAATAGATATAGTAAATATACACTTGCAATTACAAATAATTAGGTCTCAAATCATCTAGAAAGACCTTAGTGGAATCATTGTATTCCACTTAATTTTAAGTGCCACATTGTTAGTTGATTTGTGGTACTAATTACTATGGGCGTGATATTTTAGGTTATAATTAAGTACTAATTATAAGATTATTTTTATCAAGTTTTTATAGTATATAGTACAAAATTATCAATAAGATCAATCAATATCAGAATATGAAAGGACATAAGAAGGTAATTATCATCTAGCATAGTGCCATGTCTGCTTTTAATGTGCAACAAATGTTAAAAAGCCCCTTCACGTGAAGTTGCCCCTCATACTCATAGTTCGAAAACTCCATATCATTCCAATTAATATTTCGTTTTTATTTTATTCCAACTACTGGATCCAGTAGTTGATCCCTCAATTTCCTCGTATGGGCTGTTGAAATTGCGACACCTGTCCCAACAACAAATAAATGGTGCAGATTTCTTATAAGCCAATGATATTTCATATGTGGGACAAGTACTAGAATGAATATAATTTCTTATTTTATTTTTAAAATAAAAATCTCTATATTATTATTTATTGACCCCCCTTACTAAAATGAATCATATATATAACTAAAATAGCGTTTGGCATATATAGACTAAAATAAATGAGGGTTAATAATACAAAAAAAAAAAACCTTTTTTTGTAAATAGTTGTAATTGTTTACTTTATATTTGCACATATACAATATTTCTATAGTAAAATATATTGTATTTGCATATATAAAAATAGTGAAATATATTGTATTCAAGTACTTAATATAAGTATATTTGTATTATATAATATTTTTGTCTAACTTTACCTACGTGAATAATAAATATATCTATGTGTATCTACTATATAAGTTTAAATTATTCTTATATGGTATATATTTAAAACTATCACCATTTGAATGAATATAGGACATTGACTTATTGTGTGTCACGTAATTTTTCCAAATATTAATGCATCCAAAATATATGTGTATAGTCGTTATATTTTGTTTTAATGTTGAACCAAACAAAATATGTTTAATGCCCCTTCACGTGAAGTTGCCCTTATGAATTCTCCGTACCTATCATGTTGTCACGTGGGAAGAATCTTGAAGAGCCAATAACATTATGCCAGGTGGGGCAATTTTAGTAGAATAAAGTTAAAATTTGAGTGACGATTCATGAAATAAAACTTATAAAAATATGTTAATACTCTACTTTCTACTTATTATTATAATAAGGTCACAAATGACTCGTTATCTACAAGTGTGGAGCCATAATAGAAGTTATGGGTTTTGCAGAATACAATAGTTTTAACTTAAACGTTGTAGTTTTGATTTAAAAAAATCCTGTCTCCCGAACACGATAAAGAAAAGAATTATAGTTCAATTAAATTCATGCATAAATTTAAAATTTTGAATCTGCCTCTAGTATTTATCGCTAGTCCTTCTCTGTTTGGTTCTCTATATGTTGTTATCTTAAATTTACTAGACCTAACTCGTACAGAAAGTACTACTGTACATTTTGCTAAATACAGTTTCATCTCCAAAAAAGCAAAATAAAACAAGAAAAAATATGCAAATTTTAACCTCCTTTAATGATTTATAAATGCAAATTTTTCATGATGAATGTTGGAGAATATATATATATATATATATATAGTCACACATTTTGTCTTTCATGAGCTTTTATTATATTGTCGATCTAAAATTTGTATTTAAAAAAAAAAGAATTACAATAGATTGACAACCAATGTTAAGTAGTTAATTCATCATAAATTTTCATAATATATGTATCATTAAAACGTGATATAAATTTAAATTGATGAGGATTAATATAACTGATCCAACTAATAAGGATTGATGCGTTTTTATTGTTACAAGTTATAACCATAGTAATTGGTAGCAACGTTGTACAATGTCATTTCTAGGCTATTCAAATGGAAACTATTATACAAAAAAATATAGTAATAGTTTTTTACTACGTTGCACGGATTCTTTAATATTGGGAAACTTACATAAATTTCACCAGTTTAGGAGTTTATCATTTGAATATACTTCAGTTTGCAATACTACAAATCTTACCAGATTTATGTATTTCAGGTTACATGGGGTCAAAATTAAGTGTAATGTATTCTAGATACACGATATCTAAGTGGATTTGCATATATTTGGGATACATAACAAATATCGATCGCCTCCCTCCCATCTTGCTCGCTGCTCTCTTATGTATCTGGTATCCCAAAATACATGTGAAATCACACTAGATACATACAAATACATGTATCTAGTATGATTCACATGTATCTGAAATAAGTAACAAATCTCGTTGGCCTCTCTCCCTGTTTTAGTGTATCCAGTAGCAAAACTACATGTATCTAAGTGTATCTTCCTCAATATATAATATGAAATTGTTAAAAGTATAGGTAATAATAGTATATATGATAGTAAAATATGTCTAATTATGTAGTTTATATCGACACATACATTTCTGGTCCTCTAAAAATAATAAATTTTGGAGGACCTAACACGAGTGTGATGACATTCTCAAAATTATGAATAAACCCTCCATCTCTAATATGAAATAGTGGGGTGGGCGTGGGGTGGAGTGGGGGTGGAGCAAGAAAGGTTGGTTCAATACTTGAGATATTTACTTTTTGCTTCTTTTTTCTTACTTTCCTCCACCCATCTTTCACGTGAAGCGCCTGCCCACCAATTAGTCTAACCCATTTTTTATTATGAAAAAAATAAAAAATAAATAAAAAATATTTTTAAAAAAAGTATATATATATATATATATGATATCTTTATGCAATGAAAAATAAGATAATGAGCAAAATTTGATTTCAATTTAATAATATGATAACATATTGTTATCAAGAACATATAATATAACATAACATGAACACACGATTCCAAAATAAACTTAAATGTTATAGAAGATGACTGTTACAGAAAGGTCTGAGCGTAACTACTATGATAAGCCTCATTACTTGTGAAACAACACAAACTTGAAATGAAACTTATTATACTTATAAAACTTACACCAACAGAAAATTACAATACAAGAAAAAAATTGTAATTATTTTAAACAAAAAAGCAACTTTACTACCTTCTTTTTCTGAAAAAAAAAAAAAAAAAAAAACTCTATTTCTGAACTTGTACTAACATTATGTTTTTTTTCCCTAGCCATAGTCCTATTTAGGCAATTGTAGACTAACAGCTTCATGTGAAATTGATTTAATCAAACAGAACATAGAAAAACATCTTCCATTCTATCCAGCAGCATAGAACTATATACTAACTCGATTAAAAGAAACGTCTTTTTTCCGTCTCTGCTAAAATAATGGAACTTACAGGGACCTTGGCGCGAATGACCATGTTTGATGTGCAAAGAACTTTGAAGTTGTGCCAAGAACAGAGCTTTCTATGCTGTTTCAGCGTTGCGTAGATGTCTGTCCTGTCCATTTGTATCCCAGAAACCGGAATATGTAGTTCTTCTCTTAGACTTGTAACCTTTAACTCTTTTTTTCAATCCCTTACGCCCTCTAAGCATGACGGACATGACACCTAAGAAGCCGAAGATTGACACTGCCCACAAAACCATGATCCAAAATCTCATGGAAGTGAATGTTCCGTTTGACGTTTCAACTTGGGAGGATTCCTGAGAACTATTTTTGGGCATTTCATCGTGCCTCAAGGCCTGAATGTCGTCAACGTTTCCAAACTTCGTTGAAGTTGTAGTTTCAACAGCCATTCTAGCTTCAGCATTGGTTCTAGTTTCAGCATTGGTTCTAGTTTCAGCATCGGTTCTAGTTTCAGCACTGGTTCTAGTTTCAGCATCGGTTCTAGTTTCAGCACGGGTTCTAGTTTCAGCATTGGTTCTAGTTTCATCGACTCTGTCCTGATTTACTCTTTCACGTTTGGGCGTGGAAATAGTGTTAGGATCTGGACATTTTCTCCTCTCGTGGTGTAACCGAAGAGCTTCATTCAACGTTGTTGCACATTCTATGCTAAGCAAGTCGCGCTGTAGGGAATTGTTGTCAGTTTGATCAAGTGATGATGGATCAGGAGGATCAGGAAACTTAGCCCAACATTTGTTAACCACGTCGGCGTGTCTCCAGTTTGCTTTGTCAAAACTCCAGTTACCAACCCTATATTCCAAGCCATAGTGGAAGACTCTATAATTAACACCGGGCTTAGGAACATATCCTGGGTATATCAGAATCTCGTCACTTATGACATGCCGCAGATTCAACTGCACAACATTAAAATTCAGATTAAACAGATTGACGATTAGGGAGTACAGCACTCAGTAGCTACATCCAAACCTCGTTATAACAACATTTCATTATATAAACTGATTAAGAGAACTATTTTTTGATAATAAGCCTAGAAAAGTACCTCTGCAGCACCAAATGAGTAACCATACATCTCACTAATCCATCCAGATTCATAGATATCTCCTGTTATGTTCTTGGACCAATGAGATCTATCAAGTCGGACCTCCATGGTTTTGTGCAGCCACTGCAGCGCAAATTTCCGTAGATCATCTACATGCATAATGATTACTCCCCCAACCTTGTCACAAGCTTCAGGATGGCGAGTGTGGAGCTTTGCCAGTATGTTGTCACAGCCGATAAGGTAGCTGATTCAATATAGGAACAAAAGTAGTAGACTGGTAAAAATCTATGCAATGTGAATTCATGCAAGAATACAAGGCACAAACTGATTCGCCAAACAATTGTAAATTTGTAACAAACCATGCAATCCTCCAACAGAATGAAATTAAAGATCACAAACTTATAACCCTTACTCATAAGGAGTTGAAGCAGGTCGGCTGCGGCCTGCATTGAATTCCCATGGTGTTATTGGTCCTCTCATGATCATGTCAGCATCAAGAATCACAATGTACTCAGCATCCGTTTTCACATGATTCATCCAATGAAGAACTGCAGCCGGTTTGTTGATTGCTGGATACCTGAAATAAGCAAAAACTAGATCCGGCTTGACGTCAAAAATTTCTACATTGACCTTAGGGCTTAGTTTTTCTTATTTTATTTTATTAAGAAGGGGGAGAGATAGTTGAGGTGAGTGACAAATGTTTCATTTATTATTTTATATGCTCCCTCCACTGCTCTGACTACTCTGTTTCATTTCCTTCTAAAAAGTCGCCGAAAGTGAAAGATGTCTCTGATCAAAAGGCCATAGCCCATATGTATTGACAAGAAAGAAAAAAACTAGGAAACAATAAATTACCAATCTCCAGTTAATGGATGTCGGCTCATGGACGGTACATAGTGGGTGGGAGCTAGATCATGGCCTTTGTATTGCTTTAAATCTTCATCGGTACAGCTTAGAAGCCTTGTGATGTTCCCTGGCTGACCACTCTTGTAAAAACTGTGGACAAGCCCCACTGTTTGCCAATCAAAGTAAGACGAGCATTCTGTAGAGAAAATGGTATGGATTTTTGGGTGTGGCTTTTCAGGCTCATTATCAACTTCTTTATGAATTTTAACCTCAACTTTTGGGTGTGGCTTTTCAGGCTCATTATCAACTTCTTTATGAATTTCAACCTCCATCATCTGTCGACTTTGGGCAGTCAAACGTTTTGGCCGACTTAGTTCAGCGAATGTTTTACTCTTTAGGAAACTAAGATACTTTGACCACTTTGGCTTAGGGCATTTAAAGGCAGCATGCTGTAATAAAAGGCCCTCATTCATGGTATTAATGCACTCGATATTCAGAAACAATGCCCTCCTTTTGTGATGATCAGATTCCATCTGTGTTATCTGCAAGAAGCAAACAATCTCAGAGATTCTAATGAACGTTACAAGAAAAAAGAATGCAAGTTATCTCGCAGAATGAATGATCCAAATAACTCCTAGTGACTAACTGCAGAAGGAATCATTACCATGCATGGATGACCGTACAATGAAGTAAAACCATTAACGTCATATTCTAAAACTATTAAACTTAGATCACTAGATTTATATTTCAAAAGCTCCAACACGGAAGCTTTTCAACTGGTCAAGTGTTTTTACCTCCAGCTTTTAAAACTCATACTATTATGTCTATGAGGAAGTGGTCATAGTTCACCACATTAGTGAGCCAGCATAGCATTGCTTGCTTGCTCATTGACTTTCTAAATGGCCACGTATTTGATAGAAAGAACTGAATTAAAATGCACTGCTCTAAGCAAATGAGAGAGACAAAAAATAGATTCAACCTGCAAAAGAAATATAGGGTATTAAACTACTGATGAATTTGTTACTCCATTGCTGATAATACATGTTACTTTCAGTCAGAGATTATGAATACAAAAGACTAATAAGAAATTTAAAACAGCAAGTGTCTTAGTATATGAAAGATTTAACATATAGCATAGCTTATATCAGCTCAAGTCAGCCTAATTTACTTCATAACGTGGTGGTCGAAGCATCACCCGTAGAAGGCAACAAGATTAAACATACTCTATCACTCACCCCAACCACCTGCACTTGCTGTATATATGAATTTGTCATTTAACAAGTTTTAGTATCAATTGAGATTGAATTGTTTCCTTCAGAGCATATTCAGCTGAGTAATTCACAAAATGGAAGCCATGCTGGTAAGAAACAAAAATAAATTTATAATGTGCATAGACAAATGATCTATTTTAATGGTGCACACAAAATTTTACCTCTCGGGGATAAGGAGGTTCAGGGAAGAGCCGGCTGCAATCATAGACAATGTCATCTTCATGATGGTCTAGTTTACTGAATGACCAGTTTCCAACATTAAAAGGTAAGCCATAATGCATAAGAATAGGTTCAACACCCTCTCGTGGAGTATAGCCAGGGTATATCATCAAGTTATCGTTGATCTTATGCCGGAGTCCTACCTGACAAATCAAACATATAGGATACATATATAATCTTAATAAAACATTAAAAAAGCAGCAACACATATCTGCAAAATAAAGATGAACCAATGAAACAACTTACCTCGGCAGCACCAAATGAATATCCATACATCTCACTGATCCACCCTGTTCCGTAGATATCACCAGTATAGTTGGTTGGCCAGTGAGCTCTGTCTTCCCGTACTTCTTCAGTCTTTGAAAGCCATAGGGGTGCCAAAGCTCGAAGATCATCTATATGCATGGCTAATAGCCCACCAACCTTGTCACAAAGTTCAGGATGCTTTGTATGCAGCTTTGCAAGAATATTATCGCATCCAATTAAATACCTAATTATGAAATAAACTCTTTGGAATCAACAAGTCCTCAATTACGGTGAACAATCAATCTGACAAGAAGTTTTATATAATTAAGGATCGTGAAATTTTACTGAGGGATGCTGCAGGTTGTCAAGAAAACACCAAAAATAGTCGTCATACAAACATCTTCTAGGTGTGTTTTTAATTCTTTGATGTTTATGGCTTTCCTTGAATCAAAAATCTACTTCACGTGCCAAGTGCAACAAGAGTTGATGAGCTGATACTAATCTATAGAGGAAGTGCAAGGGATTATTTCTTTTCTAATTCACTTTGGTTATGTAGATCTTTACAGTCGATGCCCAAAAATCTAAGATGTTTTCTAGACATATTTTGAGAAACATAGATGTTTCCTGGATAACCGTTAAGTTACATATTTGTAAGGCATGATTGCAAATTATCTTTGTTTCCATCAAGAAATTTGTTTGCTTCCACCTCAAGATCTTACTAAAATAGTGAAACTAAAAATGGGTAAAATGAGAATTTGGTTTTACCCATAATACGCAGAAACAGGCCTTCCTTTCTCTGCCCCAATCTCCCATGGTACAATCGGACCTCGAATGATCATGTCTGCGTCCAATATGACAACCCAATCAACATTTTCTGCCTCTTTGCTGTATTTAAGCCAGTGAACAACTCCAGCTGGTTTGTTAATTGCAGGATACCTGCAGAACAAATAGAACAGTATTATCTTCTCTGATCGGCATTACAATCTTTTACTGTTGCCTTTAAGCAACACAAGTTCTTCCAAATCAGATAAGAGGAAGATTATGACATAAAAAGAAACAAAGAGAATCGACAAAGATATCAAGGAAAATCATAAATTGCATTTATTTATTTTCTAGGAAGGAAAAACAGGTTGAAATGTTGTGAATAACACACTGGCAAAATGGTTCGTGTTGCCAAGGACGATCCACCGATAGTTATTTGTGCAAATATAAGACTAATTCTATAGTTGAATATGTCCAACTCAAATACTGAATAACATCTTCCAGTAGAAGAAAATGAGAGTATGGCAAAATTCTACTGAAGTAAAGTAGAGGAGAAGAACTGACCCATGAAACCAATAAAGCTAGAAGCGAACAATCAAAGCAGTTAGCAAGACAGTAAAAAAGAGTGACACGTTGAGCAAACAAAGACCAGAAGATGCAATATAAGAGCAAATAATCTCACCAATCTAATGGTAATGCAATTACCAAGTATTCTTCCTTTCTCCTTCTCCAAGTAAAACAAACGTCAATTAATCAAATTTTATCTTTATCAATCATCAATACTGGAGCAGTTAACATAGAACTCAAGGATATCCAATTCAAAATTAATAATCGGGACGAAATCCAATCTTTCTATTATCGTGATATCTCAATCGCCTTTGAACTGTTTATATCATTAAATTCTTGATATTTCAAAACCACCATAACAACAATCAACACTAATTTCTGTACACAATTGCATATCCAAAAGTAGAAGGAAAATAAAGAAAGATCAATCACACAACATTTTATAAGTCCACTCCGACACCTTCGTCGAAAACAACATATATTTATCTATCATCATTTTTAAATGTTTAAAGCCATCAAGGTCAGCATTGAATCAAACATGTAAAATTGAGGGCAAAAACCAAATAAAGGGTGCAACGACACAAACACAAACAAAGATGTTACCTTTTCTGGAAAAACAACATAATTTTTTTTCTTCATATTCTTAACTGTTCAAAGCCAAATGCCAAAAGAATTGAAAATCCAATTCAACATTGAAGCCAACATCAAGGTCAGCATTGAATCAAACATGTAAAATTGAGGGCAAAAACCAAATAAAGGGTGCAACGACACAAACACAAACAAAGATGTTACCTTTTCTGGAAAAACAACATAATTTCATTTCTTCATATTCTTAACTGTTCAAAGCCAAATGCCAAAAGAATTGAAAATCCAATTCAACATTGAAGCCAACATAGAAAGGTGAAGGAAAAAATAAAATAAAAAACCCAGTTTGGCAATAAACACATAAAATCGAAGGCAAAAACCAAATAAAGCTGACAATCACACAACACTAAACAAAGCTGATCTTCTTCATTGGAAAAAACATCATAACTCGATGTGTTCATAGTCTAAATTATTTGAAGCCCCAAAATCCACAACAATCAGAACCAATGCAGCATTGAATACATACATAGAATTTAACACAAAAACCAAATAATGGTGGCAATCACACAAACGCGTAAACAGAGCTGACATCTCAGTTGGAAAAACAACAATATATCATCTGTTCATCATCTTAACAGTTCAAAACCATCAAAGTCACAAGAATCAAAAACCCAATCCAGCATTTTTATCACCAAACACACTAGGCAAAGCCGACCTCTTGGAAAAAACAAAACAAAATATCATTTTTTTTCTCAATCTTAATTGCTCAAAGCCATCAAAATCACAAGAATCAAAAATCCAATTCAACATTTTATCATCAACAACTCATGCATCCACAAAAAACCCGAGAAGTATCAATTTTTTATCTTCTTAATAGCTCAAAGCCATCATAATCACAAGAATCAAAGACCCAATTCAGCATTTCATCATCAACAACTCTTGCATCCACAAAAAACCCGAAAAGTATCAATTTTTCATCTTCTTAGTAGCTCAAAGCCATCAAAATCACAAGAATCAAAAACCCAATTCAGCATTTTATCATCAACAAGTCATGCATCCACAAAAAAAAGCCCGACAAGTATCAATTTTTCATCTTCTTAATAGCTCAAAGCCATCATAATCACAAGAATCAAAAACACAATTCATCATTTTATCATCAACAACTCATGCATCCCCCCAAAAAAACTTAAAAGTATCAACTTTTCATCTTCTTAATAGCTCAAAGCCATCAAAATCACAAGAACCAAAAACCCAATTCACCATTTCATCATCAACAACTCATGCATCCACAAAAAACCCGAAAAGTATCAATTTTTCATCTTCCTAATAGCTCAAAGCCAACATAATCACAAGAATCAAAAACCCAATTCAGCATTTTATCATCAACAACTCATGCATCCACAAAAAACCTACAAGTATCAATTTTTCATCTTCCTAATAGCTCAAAGCCATCATAATCACAAGAATCAAAAACCCAATTCAGCATTTTACAATCAACAACTCATGCATCCACAAAAAAACCCGAAAAGTATCTATCTTTCATCTTCTTAATACCTCAAAAGCCATCAAAATCACAACAATAAAAAACCAAATTTAGCATTTCACCATCCACACCACATGCATCCACAGAAACACTCAAAAACCCCACAAATAATTAAAGCTCAAGAATTTACCAGTCACTAGTTTTAGGATGTCTACTCATAGAAGGAACCTCAAAAGTAGGAGCCAACTCCATCCCTCTATAACCCTTCCTCTCATCTTCAGTACAGCTCAACAATCTTGTAATAGGCCCAGGTTGCTGAGCCTTCCTGTAACTATGCATAAGTCCAACCGTTTGCCAATCGAAGTAATTCTGACACTCTACAGAAAACAAAGTGTGGATCCTCCATGGAGCCTTTTGGGTATCAATCTTTTCTGGTTCTTGACCATTGATTAAACTCAATGTCAGCACCAAAAACACCAAGATTGCTTTTTTCTCCATCATAAACACCAAAACTCAAATGGGTATCTCTGTATTGATCTCAATTTCATGATTTTGGTAGAAAGTCAAAGGTTTCTTGAATCATTTTTTTATTAAAATTTTTGTCTTGATGCTGTATGATCTAAAGATCGTGGATGATTAAGGAGTATATTAATTCAATAATGTAAACAAGTGTGATCTGTAATTTTTGTGAACTGAAAATGGAAATGGAAAATTAACAAAAAAAAATAAAAAAAAAATAAATAATAAAAAAAAAAGAGCTGTCTTTCATGTGTTCTTGAATAGTCAGTGAGAGAGAAGGTTTATTTAATTGTAAAAATTATAAAAGTCTTTAATTACCAAACTTTAAAAAAGGACATGAAAATTATACCCTATAAATTTGAGGTTATATTAAAAAAAAAACATTAAAATAAATAATTTTTAGATTTTGTAAATAAGATCATTGTGTTTTTGGACAACAATAATAACATTATAGCTAATGAAATCAATAAGTGAGATCTGAAAAAGATAAAATTTAGCAGATTTTACTTACCTTATATTTTTGGAACAAAATTAAAGAGAATAAGATTTCATATAAATAGGACTTAAACCTACTCCTTACATTCCAATTATTTATCTGACGGGAAAAATAGGATTATAAACTTAATTATTTTCAAATTTAAAAGTGTGTTATTTTTTAAAATGAATTTGAAAAGAAAATGTATCCAATAAATTAAAACGAAATAAATGTTTGACTATAAGCTTGACAAAATTATATCATGCAAATATGTAGAGTAAAATTTCAAGTGTTGACTTATCAAGTAATTTAAAAATGACAAATAATTAATCAATTGCCATACTAAAGAGATCTTAGATCCAAATCTTGCAAACTTGCATGATGAATTAAGAGTAGAAAATTATATTATCCATTTGTTTAATTATATTTGTTTTATTTAATTGGTCAAATGAAGTAGGTGCAAGAAGCAATTTGTTCCAATACTGATATTCAAAACAAACAAAAAGAATGGACTGTTGATACATTTGATATTTAATTATTTTCTATTGTTCTATGTTATATTTGTAATCGAGAATCCTATTCAGAATTTAAACTCTATCTTAAGAAATTAAAATTGAACAGATTATATTATAACACAAATTATAAGAGAGAAAATAAAGGAAGAATATAAAGCTTTTCCCGTTATATTACAACTACACCTCAGCCCCAACTAGTTGATCGTTGGGGTCGAATATATGAATCGTCCGTTTAGCCTTAACTTTTGCACTATACAAATCAAATTAGTCCTTATAATATGATGAATGTCTATACTATAGTTTTCTATATTCAAACAAATGATTTGATACTTGATTTTGCATAACCATTTGAAGGAACAAAAGTAGTTGGTGTTATGTTGTTGATTCTATTCCTTCTAAGAGAATTTGGATCTATTCCTGCCTTGTGAGCTGCAATTACACCTATGGCTTCCCAGTAGTTTGACACCTTCACCTGCAAAATAAAGGAGAAGTCGTACGTCAATATGATAGTGTCCAGACCAACTTACACACACCTCCAGGTTCTATTTCTATAAGAAAGGAATGAACGTTTATTTTAGGGGGAGAGGGGGAGGCGCACTAGTGATATTGTCCGCTTTGGGCCTAGGCCCACACGACTTTATAGACACCCTAAGACACTTGAACTCTGTGCTCTGATACCATTTGTGACAGCCCAGTCCACTAGTGATATTGTCCACTCTAGGCCTAGGCTTGCACGACTTTAAAACTTGTCACTAGTTGGTAAGGTCTGCTTACTTAAACACCCAACATCTCTCCTGTGTTTTGTCGATGTGGGACTTCTAATCTTAAGCTAGGGCATCACAGTTTAGTAGTCGTATTTCCCTTATACTATCTGTCAGTACCTCTTAAGGGTCATTTGGTTACCGGGATCAAGATACTAATCCCAACACAACTTTTGGGTTACATTTATTCAGTGATTGGTTATTGGCATTAGCTAATATCAGTATAATTTATACCAAAATCTTAATCTTGGTATTGTCTGGAATATGTTGCTCGGACTTTTCAAAAATGTCGCAGGGTGCGTGTCGGACCCTCCAAAAGTAGTGCATTTTTGAAGGATCCGACATGGTTGCGGCAGCCTTTTTAGAGAGTCCAAGCAACTTAAGACTGGATAACCTTGTTCCAAACCAAAAGACCCCTTAATCAATAACATCAACTACTACACCTCAATCACAAACAAGTTGGGGTCGGCTATATGAATCTCGCTTCTTTATTTAAGCTCATTTCATATCAAAATCAAGATTATTGATATTATGCACGGTGCAGGTAAATAATCATTGCGCAGTGTACATGCTACAAGCTAAAGCTCTCTACTGAATATGAAACATGCATAGACACTTCATGTTAAGTTGCAGGTTGCTAATAGAACAAATAGACAATAAATAAGGTATTTGCAATTAACATTTGAACTTACAGCTTCAATACCAAGTGAGTCTGGTGTATCATTCAGAACTGTTTGATTCTCTTCAACAGCAATTATAAGAGGCTGCAAAATATGAGCAAATAGGGAAAATGGGATTACTGTCGAGAAAGCAGAAGATGTTTGACTGGCTGTCGAAAATACGCTCCGTCCCAAATGACTAATTTGGGCAGCATGACTAGATTTGTAATTGTAAGCCATATTCTACTGATAGACACTTCAGTTCACATGCCACGAAGAATGACGTTAGTAAACACTTCATACTTCACCTTCCCAAATCAAATGACCAAAAATGAAGAGTAATAATTAGACCAAATATGACCACAAAAGAAAAGGTTGTTATTTATCTCTCTTATTCTTCCTCCCTGTACTTAGTTCCTACATCATCCGCTAAATTTAACCCCTTCTAGTTCCTTCATAAGCAGCTAAATTCTACACCAACAACATACCCAGTATAATCCCATAAGTGGGGACTGGGAGGGTAGTGGGGAGGGGCAGACCACCTTCCCAGCCTTGGGAAGGTAGAGAGGCTGTTTTCGAAAGAACATCGACTCATATAAAGCAAATAATGGAAATAATGAAGAAGAAAATAGTAGCAATAGCAAATAATACGATATCAGCTGCTAAACTTTCTATCCTTTATTTTCCCTTTGCATGCCTCAATCCCGACGAGTGCCTAACTCACAGGTAAAGTCATTCACTCCAGCTTACTATATCTCCAATGAAAAGAAAAGGTAAACGTATACTCCTCTCCTATCAAAAAGGAAAAAAGTATAGAACACAACTAAACCAAGAATATCAGCAGATAATTAGTCTCCTATCTAACAATAGTAGTATTAGAGGAAGTTTAGGCAACCATATGGTACCACTGTCATGACAAAGGAAGAAGAGAGAAGTAGTGTAAGCTGGGGCACGGATTACTCATAAATATGAAAAGGATGAGGCGCTTTCTTTTCTTTCTATCCAACCGCTGGAAGGGATAGGGGATTGGGGTGATTCTGATTTAATCAACAGAGTCAGCTGTCGAAGGCCGAACTCGCAGCCTAGCAAACACTAAACTCACCCAGTTGATGTCAATAGATAAAGAGCCAATTACCTTGTTTATTTTACGATTGGCAAATGCAAGAGCACCATCTCCACGACAAGCATCAATCGGTAGAATCACACTGTCAACATCACCAGCTACAATGCAGTTGTCTGAAAAATTATTGCCCTTGACCAAATACTGTGGTGCAGTGCTAAGCCCAGCAAGGACACACGGCAAGAATGTAAATCCTATCTGTCAGAAGATTGAGGTAGAGAAAAGGACAAAAACCCAAAACAAAAAAGATATTATGAGAATGCAAAAGACGCTAAAAAGGGTGCAGTATTAGCAGTTTATACATCTTCATGGTTTTCTGAACCAAGTCATATCTCCCTCTTACTCATTGCAAATGCAGAAGAAAGCATTTCAACATCCTGCTTTAAAAATCTTATAAACTATTTAAGCTCCTCTTGAGAGTGAATATCTCACGCAAGAGAACATTCATATGGCTAAAATTATCATGTTTCCATTTTAAGATGACTAAAAAACTCACCTATAAAGAAACTAAAAGAAAAACTCCCCTGCACTATCCTCTCGTAGGAAACAAAGTCGCAGAGGAGTTATGTCCTGGCTATTCCACAGAGATACCCAGTCTTTAATGAAAAACAAAATTCTTCATGATTAAACAGCACACATGGTGTGAGCTTAAATATTGTAAGATTGACGGGACAATCACTAACCTCTTCAGCAGCTGATTTTGGGCATACTGCCATGTTTAATTGAGGAGGCAATACTGCAGGAGCATGTGCGCAAGGAATATGAAAATTCTTTACCACTAAGTGACTTATAACAGCCTCCACACCTGCCAAAAGATCTATCCCCTATAGAATTAAGGGTACAAAAATAAAATTGAGATCAGGAATTTATGTATTAAACAATACAATGAATTTCCTCTCTTACAAACAGTTTAAAATTAAACAGCACAACCAGCAAGCAATCAACGGAAGAAGGTAATTCAAACTGATGTTTATACAAACTTAAATATTACACCTTCTATTTAGATGATTTCACACACATGCGTTATGGCAAAATTATAGAGACCCAAAACTTTCTGAATCGTGGAAGTAGAACTGCCTATAGCCATGAGAAGAAAAAGGAATGATATTTGTCTATAACGAGCTCATGAATTGTGACCATTTTGTATCTAGAAATTTCGAATAGATACTATTGAGGACTACATTTGCAAATGAAATGAGAAGCTAGTCATAGAAAAAATTAATACCACTCCTTGTCGATAATCATCCAAGTCTTCAATATCATCGTCTGGAAAGCGTGCCACAACCGCAAGTGCGTCTACCTTACACTCATTTCGCAAGCTCTCCACAGCTCTCAGTAGTGAATCTGGACACTGAATCCTCCCTGTTGATTGGCCACTTGTTGGATCAACCCATTTTTCCACCTTTACATACACCAGGTGTTAGCTACTTGTGATCCATTTAGAAGTTAATGTGAAGTAAATAATAAATATAGACGTGAAAATGACACTGTCATCAAGGAAAATATATATATATATATATATTTTATCTACTATGAGATATGTTTTTCTTTTATAAGTAAAGGGAAATACTATGAGATGTGAAATAGTAACTAAATGATTTCATCAAACTTAATGTCCCTAACTAAGAGAAACAATCTCTGTTTAGCAAC